CGTGTTCCTGCGGTTGAGACTCGTGTTCCTGCGGCTCAGACTCGTGTTCCTGCGGTTGAGACTCGTGTTCCTGCGGCTCAGACTCGTGTTCCTGCGGTTGAGACTCGTGTTCCTGCAGCTCAGACTCGTGTTCCTGCGGTTGAGACTCGTGTTCCTGCGGCTCAGACTCGTGTTCCTGCGGCTCAGACTCGTGTTCCTGCGGCTCAGACTCGTGTTCCTGCGGGTCAGACTCGTGTTCCTGCGGTTGAGACTCGTGTTCCTGCGGCTCAGACTCGTGTTCCTGCGGTTGAGACTCGTGTTCCTGCAGCTCAAGACTCGTGTTCCTGCGGTTGAGACTCGTGTTCCTGCGGCTCAGACTCGTGTTCCTGCGGCTCAGACTCGTGTTCCTGCGGTTGAGACTCGTGTTCCTGCGGCTCAGACTCGTAATCCTGACGTCCTGACTGACGTTTCTCTCGTTTCATCCAGAAATCAAAAGTATAAAAATGTTAGTTTTTGCATTAGGAATATGATGTTTATTAGTATGTTGACATGAATTTTGAATATTTTTGTCAGAATAAATAGTCAGAATATTGTGTCAAGTCATGTTTCTTTATAATAAGAGTTTGTGAGAGCCGTTTTACCGGACAATAATGACACAGAGTGTTTCCCGAAGAGAAAAGCGTCTCCGTCCAGCTGAAGTCAGTTCAGTGATGGCTCATTTCTGCTGTAAAAGAGTTATTAATTTAGTTCATATATATATATATATATATATATATACAGTGGCTCTGGAGTAAACCGTGATGTCATCGTCCAGCTCAGTTCTCATATAATGCAGGAGATCAATAATATTGCTGAATGTTAAACGAGTCTCTGTTCTTGTGTTTGTCGTGTTCACACACACACACACACACACACACACAGGCCCGATGCAGGAGACCGTCTACGACTTTTGGAGGATGATCTGGCAAGAGAACACCGCGACGATCGTCATGGTTACCAATCTGGTGGAGGTCGGCCGGGTGAGTGAACCTGAGTTTGGTGTTTCCCTGATCTCAGATCTGCTGGTTCTGGTGATTTTATTAAAGACCAAATGAAAGAAATCTCCGAGAACTCCGAGTGCAACACACTGATGGAGGAAAGCCTGATTCCAGATGTCTTCCGTGAAAATGTGTGTGTGTGTGTGTGTGTCGCATGAATCACACTGGATGGAAAACCAACATGTGATTTTGATAAATTCTAAAAATGTGCATTTTAATCGCATGCGCTCCATTGAGCAGATCAAGATTTCACCGGTTCATTAGTTAACATTAGTATAATACAGTAATATGTTACTCCTGTTAGTTCATGTTAGATGACTCATGTTAACCAATGAACCTGACTGATGAGAAGACAGCCAGGCTGTGATTGGATAACTGGAGTAACCGGCGGGCCAATGGCGTCGCAGCGTCTCTAATGTTGGCGTGAAACGCCGGAGTGGAAGTGTGTGTTCAGAGTGATTGTGTGAAGCGTCTCACACTCACGAGTGTGTTCCCGAACACCAGCATCCGAGCGCCAGAGAACACGACAGCGTTAGCATAGTTAGCAGAGTTTGGTCTGACGCTCGACAGACTCGTTTATGATGCAGAAAGAGACCGTTATTTTGCGTCAGGAAGTGATGAGTCTGAAACGCTGCTTTATTTGGGGATGTTTTACGCCATATTCCAGTTTTGCAACTTTGTTACAAATTTCAGGTTAAATCCACAACTTTGAATTGAAATGACACCTTAACAATGTCAGTATGATGCCAATTTCACTCAACCAATCACGAGTTTGGGGCGGAGCTATTGGTTTGACTGACCAAGAGCTTATTGTAGATAGTTATATGTATTCAATTATTATCATTTGAGTTGTTTTTAACAAACGTAATTAACATATAATGATGTTGTTTTGTATATATGCCACGTTCTACGATAAAAGCTTATTAATGTATGACAGGTGACGTACTGACTCACAGTATCTCTGGCTAAAAGCAAATTAAAAGCGCAGTGCTGGTGTACTCACACACACACTCACACACACACCTGGTCACTGCTATTGTTCAGGAGACGTGCGATTCCTCCCGACGGGCCGCTGTATTCTCAGCCTCAGCTTTCGAGTGTCTGAGAGAGTGAAGCTTCCGCTGCTTCATCAACGCCACCATCTGCTCCTGATGAACTCTGGGAATTCTCCACATTATCCTCTTCTCTCCATAGTCACTCATAGTCACCCATATTCTCCCATATTCACTCATATTCTCCCATATTCACTCATATTCTCCCATATTCTCCCATATTCATTCATATTCACTCATATTCTCCCATATTATCCATATTCTCCCATAGTCACCCATATACACTCATATTATCCCATATTCCTGTGGGAATTCTCCCATATTCTCCCGTATTCTCCATATTCTCCTGTATTCTCTTGTATTCTCCCATATTATCCCGTATTCTCCCATATATATCCCGTATTCTCCATATTCTCCCATGTTAATCTCGTATTCTCCCATATTCTTCCTGTATTCTCCCCGTATTCTCCCATATTATCTGTATTCGTATTCTCCATATTATCCCCCGTATTTCTCCCATATTATCCCATATTCTCCCGTATCTCCCATATTATCCCGTATTCTCCATATTCTCCCATATTCTCCGTATTCTCCCATATTATCCCATATTCTCCATATTATCCCATATTCTCCCGTATTCTCCATATTCTCTCCATATATCTCGTATTCTCCCATATTATCCCGTATTCTCCATATTATCCCATATTCTTCCGTATTCTCCCATATTATCCCGTATTCTCCCATATTCTCCCATATTCTCCCATTATTCCCATATTCTCCCATATTCTCCCATATTCTCCCATATTATCTCGTATTCTCCCATATTATCCCGTATTCTCCCATATTATCCCATATCTCTCCGTATTCTCCCATATTATCCCGTATTCTCCCATATTCTCCCATAATTTTCCCGTATTCTCCCATATTATCCCATATTCTCCCATATTATCCCATATTCTCCCATATTATCCCATATTGTCCCATATTATCCTGTATACTCCCATATTATCCCATATTCTCCCATAGTCACCCATATTATCCCATATTCTCCATATTATCCCATATTCTCCCGTATTCTCCCATATTATCCCGTATTCTCCCATCCCATATTATCCCATATTCTCCCATATTATCCTGTATTCTCCCATATTCTCCATATTATCCCATATTCTCTCCGTATTCTCCCATATTATCTTGTATTGTCCCATATTATCCTGTATTCTCCCATATTATCCATATTCTCCTCGTATTCTCCCATATTATCCCGTATTCTCCCATATTCTCCCATATTCTCCCGTATTCTCCCATATTATCCCATATTCTCCCATATATATCGCATATTCTCCCGTATTCTCCCATATTATCCATATTCTCCCATATCTCTCTCCCATATTCTCCCATATTATCCCGTATTCTCCCATATTATCCCATATTATCCCGTATTCTCCCGTATTCTCTTGTATTCTCCCATATTCATATGAGCTGGACTCACAGATGCCACCGACAACTGGAGAAGACCGGGACACCGTCCAAACACAATCACACTCACACACACACACACACACAGACACACATACACTCACACACTGCTTATCCTAATCAAAGCCAGTGTGTTTAATTTCTGCTGACAAAGTCAATCTATGGATCCACATTAAAGGATTAGTTTGAGAACAGACATGAAAGGTGTGTGTGATCTCGTTTCACCCTGATCTCATTGAGCTGCTAATTAAGAGCAACACCAGATCTGTGTCGGAAAATACTCTTTCCAGCCGGTAAACAGGAAAACACTCACTGTATCCGAGGCTTCTGGACATCTGTTGAGCCTCACACCTGCCTTTAACTACAATGTGTGTGTGTGTGTTTTATGATAGCTCCTCCATAATGCGTGTGTGTTCTGACAACTTCTCCATAATGCGTGTGTGTATGTTTTTGTGTGTTATGATAACTCCTCCATAATGTGTGTGTGTGTTCTGATAATTCCTCTATAATTTGTGTGTGTGTTCTGATAACTCCTTCATAATGTGTGTGTGTGTTCTGCTAACTCCTCTATAATGCTGGTCATCTGTAAGCTGATTAGTGTGAGTGTGAAGCGTCAGCACTGCTGTTCTCAGACTGGTAAAGTTAGCCCTGTTAGAGGGAGATTATCCCGGATAAAACACTGACTTCATCCGCTGTAATCTGGAGACAGCAGCGCTGTGATCATCTCCGAATCTCTGCGTCGGGTCGGGAAGAAACTCGCAGAGGGACGAGGCGAGCGAGCGACACCATTGTGCCGGAAGAGCCTGTGGCGGAACCAGGATCAAATCTCAGCGGAAATCTGACGCTCGCAACTAATGGGATTTTAAAACCCCATCTTAATATCTGACGAGAACAAAAAGGTCTCGTTTGGAATCACATTCCAGTCATTAATAAGCCATTAAGAGAGGAAAACTGCTGGATTCGCTGCTCGCTGACGGCTAAAATTAGAGTGGGATAAAAGTAGGCCAGAAAAACCCTGAACTTCACAAAGTCACGCCGTTCAGCGGCTCGAACCTGTCAATCACTCGTCACAAATACTGGCATTATGCAAAAATACATCATTAGTAAAACTTCATTCGTTTTCTCCGATGACATTCGCCCTCAATCATTAGAACACACGTTTGGATGTATTTTTCAGTTCAGTTCAATTCACGTCTATTTGTATAGCGCTTTTCACAGTACACATCATTTCAAAGCAGCTTCACAGAAAATGGACGAGTCCAAATTAGGCAAGGAGAGTTTATTTATATAGCACATTTCATACACAATGGTAATTCAAAGTGTTTTACATAGAACAAATTAAAATAATCATAAGCATAATTAAAACAGTGGCACAGTGCTCATTCAGTAAATGCACAGCTAAACAGAAGTGTTTTGACAAAATATTACAGTTATTATTATAGAGTTATGTATTTCAGAAATGTACATATACAAAATCACAGTTACCTAAAAATGTATTGATTTAAACAATGAGCTCACACTTGTTTGTTATCAAATGATGACACATATAAAAATGTGTGTTTGTTGTTTTATCCCGGGATGCCGTGTGTCGCTTCAGGATGTGTGTGACTGAATATGTAAATAACTCATTACGTGATTAATGCTCCCTCGTTTGGAGATGCTCTGATGATAATTAGGACGGAGCCGATAGCATCGCGGCCCTTTGTTTTTCCGGCCTGGCGGCGACTGAGGCGAAGTATGCTCCGCCATTAGAGCGCAATTATCCCGCCAATTAGAGCCGTCTTAATAGACTCATAGAGAGAAAACAGGATAATAATGAGGAACGGATGGGTGCTAATAAACGGATGACAAACAGATGGACAGATAAAGGGAGAGAGCGCTTGACTTCATTAATGAGTTTGACTGATTCGAGTGTGTGTGTCTCAGGAGGTGTGGTCTGGTTATGAAGGGGTTAACCTGGTTAATTAGTCTGGGATAATCTCTGGGATCCGGGACACTTCAGATCCCACTGGAAAGTCCTGATTAAATGATGTGTATGTGTCTGTACACGATCTCGTGTTTAAGCAGGTTGTTTATAAACTGGTGTGTGTTTGAACCATCAGCTGCTCATGAAGCTGTGTGTGTGTGTGTGTGTGTGTGTGTGTGTGTGCAGGTGAAGTGTTGTAAGTACTGGCCCGACGACACTGAGATCTACAGGGACATGAAGGTGACGCTCATCGAGACGCAGCTTCTCTCGGAATACGTCATTCGGACCTTCGCTGTGGAAAAGGTTCGACATTAGTGACATCACACTATCATTTCATATACAGTTACAATCTAAAGTAATTGAAACAGCTCAACACAACAAATGTTTCTAATGGTTTCCCCAAATTCAACTAAAAATGCAACTTTCTTCTGCCGTTTCAAATCTATTCACCCCCTTCATCTTCGGCTCCGCGTCGAGTGGCCGTGTGTTTAGGTCAGTGGTGTGTGTACATCAGTGTTTGTGGACACCAGCTCTTCTGCAGTCACTCGGGGTTTACCGAACCGTCGATAACTTCCTCCTTCTGCCCGTCCAGCGAGAGTAAGCGCTAGGAGTGTAACGATTTTCTAACCGAACCGAAAAACCGCCATACTGAACTCACGATTCGAATCGCGATGCTGTCATTGTGTACCAACACGCCCCGCCCCGCCCCGCCCCCTGCTACCAGCCCGGCTCAATGGACCTCATGTCTATACAGTCCCTCCAGGATTTCACGATTTTTTTTTTGTGATTTTTGCGATCAAAATGACCGATTTTGTGGTGGTAATTTCCAAAAATATATAACATTTACCATAATAGTATTTAGTCCTTCCAGAAAAACACTGAGTTTTTTTT